GCTTTATCATTCTGCATGTAACTGGGTACTGCTGCTTCTGAGGAAGAGATTTAATAAGACATGGATGGAGACCAAATCAAACATTATTTTGTTCAGAATAACCATTTTCATCATTTCTCATCTCAAATTACCTTTGAATTAATCCTCTCGCTGCTACTGTACTGCAGCGTCGCATCAGATTTTATGGAGAAATCTTAGAACAATCTCAAAGATCTTGCATATCCAAAAATAAGTTTATTTGATACAAACGTGGATGAAAACAAAATGATTATATGCATGAATATATATGTGCATTTTTTTTTCTGATTATTACTGACTCTAGGTTTTGTAGGGGTGTGAATTGGAAAGAAGTTGTCGATATGATGCATATAACAATACAGTTGAATCCGCTTATAGTGGTCACATTGGTCCAGAGCCAATTTGAACACTATAAGCGGTTGATTACTATATCCAAATTTACCATAATTTCACTTATTTTTTATGCGGAATATCATGTAAATGCCATTTGTATGGCTTTTTAACGAGAAAAATTAAATGAAACATATAGCGTCCTTATTTACTGCCCTGTGCACAGACATAACTCTGGTAGCCGTGTGCCGCCAGTGCATTTTTAAAAAAGTTTGAAGTTTGAAACAAAGAGAACAACAGCATAGCTGCATACATGTAGGCTGCAGAGAATTAAAGCTAGCCTACATCTGTTTTGTGTTGCGGATCTGCTGCGCCGCATTAAGAAATCACTCAACATATTTATCCATGGTTCCGTGGATCAGAGTGCTTTGCCAACACCGAGTTTACTTCTTTTTCAAAACGATGTAAAAGGTCAAAGTTTTTGAAACCAACATGCAGGAGACCAGTCTTTAAAATGCAAACTGCATTCCTACACTGGTACCTGCACCAAAGCGCACTTGTACCTCCGCGATGACACTAGAGTTCTGTCATCACTTAAAAATGCACGTATTCATTATTTTTGCACGTTTACATTCATAAAAAGGCCAAAAATGAACACTATAAGCAGATTTCTTGATTATTATAAACAAATTCTTTAAACAGCATTTGTATAGAACTGATTCTGTCCAAAGCCTTTTGAACACTATAAGCGGTGGATTACTATATCCGTGACCCTATAAGCCGATTCCACTGTACTGGTGTCACAGTATGATTTTTCCATATATAGTGTGAGACAGTACCATTGATAATGTAAGTTAGTTACATAATAATAAAGCTCTGTAAAACCTCAAGAGATCTCCTTGCTTCTCTGCTGCAGGCAGTGTAGAGCAGCTGGATAATACAATCATAGGCGAGTGGCTGTCAGCAAGCTTCTGGGGGTTCAATCCATCATTCAGCACACCTCTCAGCTCCGCCCTGTTCCCAATGAGCCTTCATTTTATCCACCTGCTCACCTGGCTATATAACCAGCCCTCAGACCCGTCACTAGTGCCAGATTATTAAGAGCCATCGGTGGGTTTAGTCCAGCATTCCTGTTACCCGGTTCTGCCTCCTGATTCTCTGAGCCAGCCAGAACCCAATCAGACCTGTCATAGTGTGTGTTTGGATCTCTCATCTGTTTTCTGTGCCCTGAACTGGTGCCTTGTTTCTCTGGTTCTCGGACCACCTGGCTTTCACTGTGGACCGACTATGGTTTTCCCCTTTGATTATTTTGGCTGTCTCATATCTCACGGATCTGACCTTGGGCATTCCCTTTGACCACCGAGTATCTGTCAAAGAATTATTCCTCCAAACCTACCTGGATGGATTTAAGAATCCTCCACCTGTGACGTTACACGCCAACCTGCTTCTTCAGAAACTCTCAAAGTTTGTCCCCAAACTCAGAGAAGAAGTTTCGATTTTTGACTCTGGTGAATCCCTCCCGACCTGCAGCAGTTCTATATTTTAATAAACTGTTCAATCTGTTGCTTCTAGTAGAATTCAGGGTCTTCAGGTTCTGGTCATTACAGGGGAATTAAATTTTATAAAAATATAAGACAATGAAAACGAAGTTGGCCAATAAATATGTTTGATTTTTTTTACATTTAATATTGATTCCACATTTAGAATCAATATCATCCAATGACATATATCAATATTGGTATTTTCATTTGATTCACAGTTATTTTCTGAAGAGATATTTTTACATTTTGAAAAAACTTTTGTAGTTTTTCTTTTTTGTTGTTGTTGATTATTGTTTTTGGAATGGAGTAATGATATCTCCTTTTGGCTTTTACCCCTCCATGGTACACTGGCAATGTTATATCTAATGCATTATGTATTGTAAGCATGTTTTTGTTAACATATTACCATCTGTAACTCTAAACTTGGAGCAAAAAAAAAAAAAAAAACTGTAGACACAAAGGAATATTTGTTATAGTTTCTACATATTTGTATGTTTGAAAAAGCACGATAGGTTAGGATGTGAAGTAAATATCTTGTACAAGGTGAAGGGAGTGTTCAGGGTTAGCTTTGATAGGTTAGAAACACGTCATTGGGTAAAAAGGTGAGGTACAACCTGGAAAGGTTGCCATTTATCTATTAATAAACTTGTATTGGTTGAGATTACTGCTGCTAGCATGCTGTGGTCCTGTCACTATGCCTCTGAATTCTCATCTAACCTTGTTTGCAGGCTATGTATACATTCGTTTGGCAAACAGGTTAACATGCACATCTCTCAACTGTCAAATTTTGAGTTTGAATCCCACCTCATTCATCTATTGCATATCTGTATTTTGTTTGCTAATTTACCATAAATCCTCTAATATTGGCCTGTGTTCCATTAGCGGCCAGGCCTCTAATAGTGGCCTGGCTGGCTGGCGGCGGAGGTAAATAATGGCCAGACTCATATACAGGCCGGGGCTATAATTAGAACCAACAATGTTTCTGGGCAGTCCTCCACAACTTGTGATAGTAACACACAAGTACCACAGGGGGGCAATGTTTGCAAACGAATCCAAGCCATTAGCATAGGAAGTCCCATCCTTAGCGCAGACAGTGCCGCAAACAGGAGGTCGGCTTGTTTTGTTTTTATGACCGAAATTGCGGGAAAACAACTCGTGAAGTTTGACCAGCTAGAAGAGCGAGGTGCGTGAAAACGGTGGGACCCTTTTTCCACCTGGATCTCTGCTCTTTTTCGCCATCATGTCCCTCCGTTGTCGGACTACTTCCTTCCTCATCGCCTCGGCCGTATCTAGACCCACAGCGTATAGTGCAGACCACGCTTCAATATTGAGCATAAATCAAAAATCTCTGCGTCAAGCTCACTGTGACACACTGCAGCAGGAGTTTAACCAGCCACACAATCGTTCTGATCTGAAAGACACATGTGATTACCGGTAGGTCTGGTTGTAACCAGGCAGCGTTAAAATGACAGAATTTCATTGGCCTTCGTTGTTCTGAATTTCCCTTGAAATATATGGTACTGGTAGCCTACTTAGCCTGCTTCAAATACAATTTCGCTGTGATGGCAGAACAGTTTCCATTAATTTTTTAAAAAACTTATTTCGCAAGTCAGTTTGGGCAAGATTCCATTCTGTCTGTTTTATTTTTTTTTTTTCATATTGACATGCAGAAAAATTGCAGCTGCTGGAAGATGTCTGAATAATGTTCTGTATACCGTTATGGTAACTGTACTTTTTCAATAAATGAACCTAGTATTTTATAGGTTCAAAGACAAAACAAAATCTAGTTTTTCATTCCACTGGTAGTCTGTTTTGATCAAATAGAAATAGAGGCCTGCCTCTAATTCTGTCCTCCTTCCAACAAAGGCCTGAACCAAGATTTACCTGAGTGAAATAAAGGCCCCGTCCTATATTAGACGATTTACGGTATGTTAATTAGGACACTTCTCTGCCTGTGCGGACTAATATTTGAGCGTGCTGCACTTACAACTATATAAAAACATCAATTAATTATCCTAGAAATAGTACTGTTAGTTTAAATGATTGGAACCAACTTTGTTGCTCAGTAGTTCCCCACAGGTTCTCCATGTTCCTGGTGTGGTTCTGAGAGTTGAAGATGATTGTATGAAATTATGGCTGTGGGGGGTAGAGATGTGTGTGTCTCTATCTATTTCAGATCTATATGGATGAAGCAAAATTTCTGACTCAATGGTAAACTAGACTTAAATGTAACATTGCTTTCCCTGTCTTTAAATAAAACAGTGAATGGTAAATATGATATGAGCAGGGATTCTGATGCATTTAAATACTTAAGTAGTATTGACAGGCCCAGATTATTCGAATTTAATGTGAAGCTCGATACGAAGTGTGACGTAACGAGGCCTCGCTCGCAGCGCTCACATGACTGCAGTGCGCTCCGAACACTTCTCAGCAACACTTCTGCTTCAGAAAGGTTGAAGCTGTGTCAAGCAGACTGACTGGAGCCTAACATCCCTGCATCTACAAAGCTCAAGGTAAAGCCTTTGGTGCTTTTCCCAGATGGCAGCCCAGAGCACCTTTAAAATCACTGCTCCTTTCAACCTGATCCGCTCTCCTCTGTGCTCACCTGGATTCCTTCGCTTCCACGACAAACTCTGTCAGTACCAAGACTCACAGAATTTCCTGGACCCAACTTAACCTCCCCCTGTCGGATAAACCCCAACCTCCAAGTAAGCTCTTTCTACAATTCAGATTTCCCTCTATTCAGTTCAACGCATCTAACTTTCCTGTCCTTCTTTTAGAGACCCTGCCATTCCTGTTCCCGGTCTCCAGAGGTCACATGATCATTCTGTATAAACAAACAGTTTAACTTTCTCCTGTTTCCTGACAGTTTTCTGTATGTGAGTCAAACAACTTCAGAAAAACATGACAGGTCCAAGCATTTTGAGCTTTCCTAAACTTCTAAACCAAGTCTATAAGTAAAATTATTAAGTGTGTGATATTAGAAAGCAAGAACTGCGTTTAAGGTTTTAGGAAAATGTTTATGTAAATGAGAACCTACAGAAATGTAGCTGCATCAGTGCCATTTGCAGTCTGACAGTTTGCTAATGTGTGTTTGGGAATGATGCTCACCAGGGTGCTGAGCCGGCTGCGGGCGTTCACAGCCTGCTTCAGAGCCAGTTTAATCATCGACGGCAGCCTAAGAACAACAGCCTCCATATCCTGCTCTCCTCTCATGCCACCAGCTAGCTTCCCCAGTCCATCAATGTAGCTCCTCCAGTGAGGCTGGACCTCCGCGGCGCCCCCCAGGCAGCCCTGCATGACCATCTGACAGAAGCCTCTGCATGCCGGTGGCGCCAGCATGCCCTGACAGTGCGGGCAGTACCACAGCCTTAGCAGAGCCCGGCTGCAGTCCCTGCTGGGCCGCAGATGGTCCGTGGTGTTCACCACTTCGATGCCCAGGTTCAGCGCCTGCAGGAAGACTCGTGTGGCTAGGAGGGAGCGAGACAGACGGGTCATGATCAGTTTAGGATAAGGACCAAATGCCGTCAAATCCTTCCAGGCTCCTCGTAAACACTCCTCCGACATGGAGGGGGAGCTGCCTCCAATTAGTCGGCGGTACGTGTAGGGAAAGAGTTTGTTGAAGAACGTCGCCACCATGTGGTCCACTGTCGAGTCCGAGCCGAGGATGTAGAGCGACATGTCCAAAAAGAGCTGCCCTACAGAGCTCTGAACTCCAGGGAGGACACCAGGGAACTCCGACTTCAGCATGGTCAGGGTGGAGTTACGGCCATGACGCAGCACCAGGTCGAAGGCCTCTGCAAGGAAACAAGACAGAGTCAACAGAATAAAAAATTCAGCTAATAACAGAGCCTTGAAATACACAAGAACTGTAGATGTAAAAATGTGGAAGAAATATAAACTACACCATAAAAACAAACTGCTCAATAATCACTGGAGAAAACTACCTATTTTCAAACTCTTATTCCATTTAGTTTAGTTTTTCCTCCATCCACTGTTTTCTCTTATGGGAAAACTTTCAGATGTACAGAAAAAAGCAAAATTCTGCAATAATACATGACAACTTGAAAAGAAAAGGCAACAAAGCTTCTTGAGGAGATGAAAAGTTGGCCTGTCAACAACACCCTCAAAGAACACCTTTTGTTTTTTTCTTAAAAACAAAAACACATTCATGTCACAGATTTGTCGAGTGGGAGCGACTTGGACGTGAAGATTTTTTTTCTGAGGAGAAAAGCATTCAGAACAAGGACGGGTTGCATGGCTGATGTGCAGAAAGCAGAAATAATCAGTGCCATTTCCAGGCACAAAGAGAAGTCTTATCAACAAGGTGGCACGAGACGCCGGAGCTTCGTCATTGACCCAGTGGCAGAGCGAGTGAGGCCCAACAACAGAGGGGATTTAAAGCTCCATTACTGAACTTAGCAGGGGAGCTGAGAGTCGGTGAAATGAAGCTTTGGACAGGAGAATGGCTGCAGATGCCAAAATCCCATTTATACCACAGCAAGGCCACTTAATCACTTTGTCGAGAGTGATGGCCACAAACTGCTCTTTGAGGACGGGAGCGCAGGCGGAAACACTGGTTTAAGGGACATTAGAGGGACTTGGTTTTTGTGCTGCAACAGCTTGCTATTTCATCTTTCTGATTAGATTTTTCCTGCCTGGACAGTTTAATTTCTTGCTTTTCATGCTTCCCTGGGGTCAAATGAGGCCCGTCAGCAAACTATAAGGTCCCTGGAAAGCTCTGAGAAACAATCCGACAGCCCTCTTTGCTGACATGTTTAACTTCTAATGTGTTTTTCTGCTTGCAAGCTGTTTCCTCGTTATGATTTTGCCCTGTCTCTGGCTGTTTAAACTCAAAATTGAGACAACTGTAGGTGTAATAGTAATGAAGTAACTTTTGCCACTCCTCTTTTTTTTAATGACCAGAGACCTAGATTTACTTCAATACTATTTTCACTTCCACTCACCCCACAGTTGTTTTTTAGTTTTGTCTTTTGAATAGTTTGGGTCTCTGAACCAGTATCCCCCTTATTGTGTCTGAACCACATAAAGAATCAAAATAAGAAACTGTTAGACAGCAATTTAAGTCTCATCTGACCAGAGTAAAATGTCCGACTTAATGTTAAGCAATCTGTTTATGTCTGTAATGGTAAGACAGGAAACACCTTGTGCTTCTATGTCTGCAAATCAACCAGTTGGCATTTAAAAACTGTCAAATGATTATCATGGAGATGCACACTCAACTATGTCTATGAACGCAATCTTCCTGGATTTGCTGTCTTTGCTTCTGCAGAACCTAATGGCCTCAGAGTCAGCAAAGCAGACTGGTTATGATGCTCAATTTAAACAGAAAGGAAGTAAAAAGACGCAAAGCGAAAACGATGGAATAAAGTCATTCCTAATTGAGGCACCATTGTAATTTGAAGTAGAAAGAGAAGAAGAAAATCATAATCATCGTTTCTCTTCTTCTGCTCACAATCACAATCAAGGTTTTCCTTACTTGCACTATGCTGCTGGCAGTGATTTGAAGGGAAGCATTATTGTCGCTATCAACTCCACAATCAAAACCCTTACATACTGTAGATTGGGGCTGCACACAGTAGTCTGCAGAGACTCCTGGAAAAACTGGAAGAAGTTTGCCCTTAGCAAAATCCAAACTTGTTTGTCATGGTTTAAGATTTCTCAAACTTCTCTGAGCGGTCTTGGATAGGTGGCTTTTTTCTTGTGCCCATTCTCTGAATTATGATGATCTAAACATATTTATTTTACGTGATGATGTCTTCTCCTGTCTTTGGCATTCTAAAAAACGGCAAAAAGTAAGGGCAGAAAAGTCACTGATGTTCTAAAATGTTTTGCTCAGATTAAAAAGAAAGGGTTAAATTGCAAAAAGGTTTAAGTCATGTCAAAACTATAGGAGTTTTCCTGTGTGCTGGGGGATTTTGAAAAAATAAACTATTTAGGGTTAGGTTTTATGAAATAATTTATTTGAACAATGAAATGCTTCAATATCTTTTAAAGAAAAGTGATTATTTTTCAGGTAACATGCCAGAGTTTCACAACAGTAGAGAAAATGACTAAAATCTTGCATTTAATACAGCTGATCAAAATATTAATTTAGAACAGCTTAAACATCTTGTAAGAATGAAGGAAACTAGACTAGGTTGGTTTAAATATTATTTATCTGACAGATTTCGGTTTGTTAACGCCAATCAGAAATATTCCTCAAGCTCTGTGGAGTACCACAGGGATCAGTACCTGGGCCAATTTTATATATATATATATATATATATATATATATATATATATATATATATATATATATATATATATATATTCTAAAATCTGATCTGCTCATTAAATAATCTTTATTTGTGGCGTTTTTTAAGTGAATCAAAGCGAGACTACCTACCTTCAAAAAGAAATCAAATTGAAACATATCTTACTAAGAAACAGCTGGTTAATAATTCAGACACACTCTGGTTGTTGAGGTTGTATGCGATGCATTGCCCTCATTTAGAAAAAAAAAATTAAAACTTCTACACAGCCAATAAATCACAAGTTATAAAAATAACATAAACATTTCCAACATAAACGCATTCAGCCCACTGATAACAAAGGAACAATCTTTAAGGTATATTTGTAGACTTTAAAGATAGAAAAGGAAACCTCATCTCAACTCATAGAAACTGCTTTGAAAGGTGGAGAAGAGAGGAGGGTGGGAGCAGCTCACATCTGTTTGGTTTTCCAGGCTACGGCTGTCCTGCTGCGTCTGGAAGCAGCTCCCTCTGTGATCACTGAGCAGACAGATGTGCAAATTGTCCACAGAGACAAGAGACAGACTGAGACACCCAAACACTCAAAACTAGAAGACCTACTTAAAAACTGAAAGTTTTCTCTTCCTAGAAAGACATGAGGTGTTTTTCTTCTGTTTGGTCATTGATTCAAATCTAATGGCTGAAATTAAAGCTGTTTTATTCTGCTTCTTGCCTTTGTATCTCTAGAATCTTCCGGTAAGCAGTGCAATTAAGCCACTATCTGTGGCATCTCTTATAGCCACTTTGTAATGGTAAAGAGAAAGACTAGAGGGCTCCTCATAAATGCATTTCAATGACTCCAAGTCAGCGGGTTCATAGTGAGAACCAGTCGGAGCGCTTTTTCAGCAGGTCCTGCTCCCTCTCTGTCATCAATGAAAGCCCCAGCAGGATCAGGTATCATTTAATGGAGGAGAACGGGGTTGTGTGTCTGGGGCCTGTGACATCCTGGATACAACCGTTCTGAGTTTAAGAGACCACGTTAGAGACAGAGAGCATACAGGCTCATGCTTAAAATTAGAAGCAGCGCCATTCATTTAGTCAGTGTCACAGAGGCAGACCAATGCATAACGAAAAACCTCTTCCTCATGAGACTGAAACTATTTCAAAGTCGTATCAGCTGAACCTGGCAGAGTAGAAATTTCACAGAATGTCCTATTTTACCTCCTTTGGGATGTAGCAGTAGCCAGATAATATTTACTCTGAGGATTTGAGGGCTATCGGCTTACCGTCCTTATCAGGTTTGATTTAGTACAGTTTTTGTCAGGTACTCTGTCATATTGCGATATATTATTTATGTACACCGTGTATCTTTGTGAATGCTTTATCTTGACATGTTTCTGAATATTGCCATTGTTCATGCAGGGTAATTGTACATTAATTAAGAAATGCAGAAAAAAACTGCTTAACCCCTGGCTGGTTTGCCATAATGTTTCCTCTAATTTAGTTATCAATCCATGCTAGGATTTAATTAAAAACTTCCAGCACAACGTTAAGCTGACCTGGACAGCATTGTTTTAGAAAAAACATCATTATATTGTTTACAAAAATAAGCCTTTATAAAACCTTTTTATAAAAAAAAAAAAAAATTCAAGGCTTATCCAGTTACCATACATGGTGTTAAAGTCATAGTGAAGCGGCCATTCCAACCGTTGCATTTCCGAATTGTCCCGAGTGGTGCACAACTTTACACGAGTGAATAAAGTGAATGTGATGGTTGATTATCAAGGGGGTGGGATTGTTGAGGCGGAAGGTTTGCAAGCAAGTCTGATTGTGACCGGTTTCTCTGAAACATCTTGCTAACCAGTTAGCAACTTAGTGCTAGTAGGTTCCCAATGGGAAATTACATTGGGACCAAGTAGCACTAAATTGGTGACTTAGAAACGACACTGTCAAGGAACGCTATGGACAGAGGAAACATGCAAGAGGAGGAGAGTTTAGTGTCTGAGGTCGTGGATGAGTCTCCTCCATCATACATTTTTTATTTAGAGGAGGAAAGTGGGGATGAAGATGTTGTGGAAGAGGACGCCAGGGCGGCAGAAGCTTGGTTTGGTGTAGAAGGCTTACAGCCGTACATGTTTGAGCCCTTGCCTCGCAACGCTGCCAGTTCTGTTCGCTCTACGCCTGCTGAAGACACAGACGTCCATCCCCGAGAACACTGGGACGGAACTCCATGGGAAAGGAAATTATTCTTATTTTAACCGTTGCGTATATTAGCTGCGGCATATGAATCAAGATGCTATGACCGAAAAAATGTGATTGAAAGATGAACGTTGATATATAATTGGTCGAATTTAGCTGTTCAGACTAACGTATAACTAACTGGCCTGCAAAAGATAACAAAAAAAACAACAACACAGATTTTAAGACAGGACTTTTTTTAAATAGAAATGTTCTAACTTTTGGGACAATATAGTCTGATAAAGAATACATTTATATACATGTTTAAGCCAGAATGATTTGACATTTAAATATGATTTCCCTAT